TTGTTTATTACATGGTTTTTAATGACCGCTTTTAAGGTCACAAAGGGAAATACAAATTTGCGGTGATTGTTTAACTATATTACACAGCAATAATTGAATTATAAGCATGACCGAACATCAGCATTTAGCTCAGAAATAAAGTATGTACTTCATTACTATATTTTAATGATGAATTGTTTCCTAAGTCATCATTTTTCAAATAATCTCCAACAATTTGAATTTACTTTTCGTTTTCTAGTTTATGCTTTACTTAGACATATTTACGAACCTTTGTGGGAATAGTATTGGGCAGTATAGTGAGGTGTAATTAATCTGAAAAGGTATTTCGGATATCCGTTAAGGCTCTCTACCTTCCTGTTTCCGCCTGGTACATCCTGCAGGTACTTACAATCGAAGATATTAACCTTGAAAATAAATTCCACTGATGATAATAATAAATATTAATAAACACCACTATCAGAAAATTGAAACTAGGAAGGCCTTTTGGAAGTAATGCTCTCATTCAATTTGGATGTTTCCGACTAGTATCTTGAACAGCTAATTTGCCATCCGTATTTCGATCTAATACCATGTTTCCTGTTAGTCGTAAGTAGAGCATCCATCAATTTCTTCGGTCCACGATCCGCGATTTATTCTCGGCATTTCTAACAGTAAAAGATATCATTAGTTCTATCTGTAACTGGTTTTGCTCGAATCAATTACTGATACTGTCTCCTTGTGTCTCTCGGTTTCTTCAAATGTCTTGAAGTTTTGTGTTCTACTTATTCTTCTATACTTGTAGCAGTGTAGCTATCTAGACGTACAGATAATATATCCCTACTTATTATTAAGTAGATAGTTCAATATCCAGTGACAAATCGCTCTTCCTAAAAATAGCAGTAAAGACTACTCAATTGTCCACAAATATCGTTTTAAATTTTAAGAGAAATTACCCACTTTGAGTAGATGCAGGTCCTGTGTTAATATAATGAGTTTAATTCAGCAATTATTGAAATTTATTTGACAACAATTTATCTGATAAAAATACTATTTAATAATAAGAGCACATTAATATCTAGCATTATCTAAGGATAAATATGACATTTAATTTCAGAGTATAACGCCCAAAATCGTCAATTGTTGCAACGAATGCATTTAGTAAGATTGTGAAAGTATTTTATGTATGTATCAAGGTACCTTTACGGTATTCATAGAAAATGTATAATTTTTTTAATACAGAAGCTTCATAACTTAATATCTTCAAAGGATATTACAACAGGAAAACTGAAAATCGTTTCGAATAATACTACGTGGCGAATGATTAAAATTATTGTACAATATTTTCAATTTTTTTGTTGGAACTGATTTGAAAAGTGCTTTCATTCGTTTCTACAAGGGAAGGTTTAGTTTTTTTACGGTATGTTTAGCACAATTAATGATGATTAATGATCTACTGTATCACGCGTCCGGCACCTCCACCAAATACACATAACAATTTTCAAAACATTTTAATCTATTTCTTGCTTCCTTGCTATGTTTTAACAACCAAATCCTTGTGGGAAAACTGCTAACGATTATTATTGGACAATATTATAAGCCAGTTATTTAATTACGATTACATTCTCATAATAAAACATCACCATATCGATTTTATTACCTCAATACTATATTAGTAAAAGGAAATGTCTCCTAATGTAGCTGTTATATACAACAGTTGTATTAAGCGCGGTACATTATGTACTATAATCTGATTACAAGCGAATGCTTTTCATTAATTAACCAGCTAATTTATACGATACTCTAATCGAGCCCTTATTTTCAGGGTGATTACGCTCACTAATGAATTACCTGTGTGCACACTTTGCAATTATGAACTCACATGTATATGTAGATGTTAAAAACAATTTTCTAAATTAAATATTAGATTATTATTGAGTGCCTACAACTTTTTAAGATGTAAAGAGTATTACTCAGATATAAAAAAAGATATTCTATTTATTTAATCTATGTAGCTGTTATTATTTATTTATCGAGGCTCTCAATTGTTACAGTACAAAATTAACAATATGCAACGGTGTCCTTACATTCATGAGATGAAAGAGCGTCTTTTAGGGGAACAAATCGCCATGGAACCGCTAAGCAAACCTATACCAACCCCTCCGCCACTTAATCTAGAACAACATCAGCAGACTGTAGGGACTGTAGTTAAGGTAAGTAACCCCGACTTTTTTAATGTCACGTACTGCTATTTTAGTACATACGTGACTAATAAGCAATATTTTATTATTTTAAGTTAAATCCTGATGGATATGGTTCCCACACATCCCCAACTCATAACAGAACTGATAGAATCCCACTGATGCCTCGGGAACCAAGTGAAGAGTACCACGTTGTAGATAGAAGGGTTTTTCCTAAAAACGCCAAGTAAGTCAGTCCATTTTCGAAATTGTATATATATATATTCTCGTTTAAGTCTTGTTTATTCGGTCTTGGTCTTCATCTTGCTCAAATACTTCTAGTCTTGGTCTTGGTCTGGCTGATATATTCTCGATCATAATTTTGGTTTTGCTTATTTAATTTGAGACTTACGTTTTTTTAATAATTATATTTACCGACACAATAATTGTCATAAAAAAAAACTCTTGAACTTACCCTTCCATATGTGCATAAATTGACCTTTCCTCTAAAGCTTAAACTGACCTTTTAGCGAACAAAATAGTGCAAGGTTCTTGACAAAAATAAAAAATATCGAAAAAGTTTATCGTGGCACTGCCCATATTACTAAACGTACCAGGAATGTTTTAAAGTTGGATTCGCGAAGTGGGATCATGCATTTGCGGGTCGGAACATCTAACACTTACTCACACTTACCACTAAAAAACAAGAGGAAGAATGAAAACTAATTTTGTATAAAGGTTTCTTTTTGATATTTGTTGGATCATTATTAACGGAACATGTAATGTATTTAGTTATTCAAATTGTTAAATTTGAGGAATTTTTGAACTATGACAACTTTTTTAAAAACGTGCCTATCACGTTGAGGTTGGCTACCCCGGGATTCGTTTTCAGCAAGTAGATATCCACACAAGTGGACCTTGTTGGAGCATACGTAATCCTCTGTCTGTCTGTGTTCTGTCGGAGCTGCCTGCGACGCGCTGATGACATCCAAAAAGATCAAAATCGCGATCCGCGTCTGGCAGTTTCGACAGAATACAGACCACTTCGAATTATTTTATGGCAACTATTGTTTATCCATTTTTCATTCATAAGTAATTAGATATCTGGATTTTTATTATTGCTCCTACTTTTTTCTAGAGTAGAAATTAATGAATGTACATTGCACATTTCTTTTTTTAATGAAATTTGCGTGCGCGAAGCGGTTCAACACGCTTCGTTTAAACCCTCAACAATTCAGACCATTAGAGGCGAAATCATACAGCAACGCCCTCGAAGAAGAGGGGTGCGACAAAACAAAATCAATAAGCAACCCCTTTATCCAGAATCCTCGATCTTTCCTTGTTTCGTTACCCATTTTAATAGTTTTCCAAAACTAAAAACAACTGCGAGCCAATTTTTCGCATTGAACCCAATCAAGTACCTACATATCGAGTTTATAGTTCAATTTAAGGTTGAAGCTAGCCCGTTCCCGCTTTCAACTGTCAACATAAAAAATATAGTAGTAGGCGGGGATAAAATTTACGGTATCAGAGAGTAATTAACGAGTACTTGAAAAACGCTTACGGTTTATACTTTCATAGAGGATCATTGATATAGAAAGGCGAGGTCAGTGGGTCACATCCAGGGCCCAGCTTGCCAGCCCAATCGCAGCCTCTTAACTAGTCACATGACGTCCTGCAGCATCCCTCTCCCTGTACCATACACCGACGAGCTTAAAGCTCTATTGTGCCGACGTCGAGCGTCGTACTTTCGTTCGCCAGTTCGCGCGCCATCCAGCGTCTCGTGGAACATTTTTTTTCGAAATAAAAAACATTCGTCGCGATTATTATGTGACGGAAACGCAAGCAAGTGTCTCTTTTAAACCACAAAAAAAAATGTGATGTCGAAAGCTTCTTTCACACGTTATCGGATTCCGGCCTAAATCATCATCATCAACATCATCAACATCGACGACGCGTACCTGCTCATTATGTGTTAATGATATACAAATGTATACAACGAATTGTTGACGAGATGTCGCTTGCCCATTGNGTGACAAATCGCTCTTCCTAAAAATAGCAGTAAAGACTACTCAATTGTCCACAAATATCGTTTTAAATTTTAAGAGAAATTACCCACTTTGAGTAGATGCAGGTCCTGTGTTAATATAATGAGTTTAATTCAGCAATTATTGAAATTTATTTGACAACAACTTATCTGATAAAAATACTATTTAATAATAAGAGCACATTAATATCTAGCATTATCTAAGGATAAATATGACATTTAATTTCAGAGTATAACGCCCAAAATCGTCAATTGTTGCAACGAATGCATTTAGTAAGATTGTGAAAGTATTTTATGTATGTATCAAGGTACCTTTACGGTATTCATAGAAAATGTATAATTTTTTTAATACAGAAGCTTCATAACTTAATATCTTCAAAGGATATTACAACAGGAAAACTGAAAATCGTTTCGAATAATACTACGTGGCGAATGATTAAAATTATTGTACAATATTTTCAATTTTTTTGTTGGAACTGATTTGAAAAGTGCTTTCATTCGTTTCTACAAGGGAAGGTTTAGTTTTTTTACGGTATGTTTAGCACAATTAATGATGATTAATGATCTACTGTATCACGCGTCCGGCACCTCCACCAAATACACATAACAATTTTCAAAACATTTTAATCTATTTCTTGCTTCCTTGCTATGTTTTAACAACCAAATCCTTGTGGGAAAACTGCTAACGATTATTATTGGACAATATTATAAGCCAGTTATTTAATTACGATTACATTCTCATAATAAAACATCACCATATCGATTTTATTACCTCAATACTATATTAGTAAAAGGAAATGTCTCCTGACTGCGATGTAGTTGACATCGACTGCTCGCTATTTACCACAACCTTTCTACCGATTAGTACTGGAGCACGTTGTTGCTGTTGTTTAACGACTGTCATTTTGTTCGTTTAATTTTCCGCGTGTTTTGCCGAGTTGCACGAAAGCTCCCAGTTAGTTTAGTTTTACCGGTGGACTCATTAATCGATCTTGTTCCAACTTTTTTCTTTCGCTGCTAGTGAAACGCAACAAACAGAAAGATGGGGTAGGTAAGGAATTCTCTTGTAAGAGATTATGACTTTTGGGTCATACTTTGGTGAACTAAGCATTTATTACAATTATGTCGTGTTCATATAAATCAATCGTATTGACAGTGAGTTGCAATACTTGTACCTATATTATCCTTATTTTGAATCATTCACAATTCCTGAAACAGATGTTGAAGTTTCAATTCCAAATTGTCAATTGATATAATAGATAGATAATTATTACTAAGTATGTATTTTCTGCAAATATCTGTTATATACGTCAATAAACATTATCGATTTATTCCTTTATTATACGTATTTTTGCGTGAATTTCCTGTAAAATATCTTGTTAATAAACTAAAAACTAATTACTGCAGGTAATTTATGAATAACGGATACGTGTTTTGTCCACTTTGAATGTGCCAAAAAGCAACGCGAGACTGTTTTTTCTTTGTTTTTCAAAAATTTCTTCTGATACTTAAAGATATAACTTCGTTTAATCCACTTGAATCAAATAAAAATACAAAAAAAGAATCTTCGGGTAGCTACCTACTATAATCTAACCCTTTTCAACATTCTGCATGATTTTTTTAAATAGATCAATATATGTAACGATTCTACTAAACTTCAAATTTCTACGTCAAATATTTGTAACTAACTTATCGGCAGAGGAAGACGCGACTGATAAAGGTTTCATTTTTTTAATTTTGTTAACGTATGTACAATCTGTAAATTAGTAATCTGGTGATTTAATCGATTTATTTAGGGTTATAATCAAAATTTAATACCAAACTCAACTTGTGTTTTATACTTACCCGTTAAGAGCCTTTTATTTATGACACTATTATCCAATTTTAGTATTTTACTTAGCATATTGCATCATTAAAGATAAGCTTGTGGACCTTAATATGAAATCGGTAGATTTAGTTTTAGTTACTTGCTTTGTTTGTTCACAAAAAGTGCATAATATAAACATATCAGTTAGAAGAGATATCTATTAATGATGTGATGACCCCTGCATCAGTTGGTACTATTTCAGAATATAAGTGGCTATTTTGTATTACTAAACCAATCGATAGAATTCAATCTAAAATTTCATTTGAAAATCCAAATTTAAATAAACAGATCGACAGCATTATACAATGACCATTTTAATTTGATATTTTGGTTTCTTTGCCGCATACATTTAAATAGATTATGCTAATTTTTGTTTAATAATAAAGTAGACTAATTTCAAATGCGATAGTTCTGTTAAATATAACAACGAACAGACATTATAAATGCTTTTAAACATTAAAATGTCTGGCGTATGTAGTCTGCCACTCTCTTGTTGTTTATTACATGGTTTTTAATGACCGCTTTTAAGGTCACAAAGGGAAATACAAATTTGCGGTGATTGTTTAACTATATTACACAGCAATAATTGAATTATAAGCATGACCGAACATCAGCATTTACCTCAGAAATAAAGTATGTACTTCATTTACTATATTTTAATGATGAATTGTTTCCTAAGTCATCATTTTTCAAATAATCTCCAACAATTTGAATTTACTTTTCGTTTTCTAGTTTATGCTTTACTTAGACATATTTACGAACCTTTGTGGGAATAGTATTGGGCAGTATAGTGAGGTGTAATTAATCTGAAAAGGTATTTCGGATATCCGTTAAGGCTCTCTACCTTCCTGTTTCCGCCTGGTACATCCTGCAGGTACTTACAATCGAAGATATTAACCTTGAAAATAAATTCCACTGATGATAATAATAAATATTAATAAACACCACTATCAGAAAATTGAAACTAAGGAGGCCTTTCGGAAGTAATACACTCATTCAATTTGGATGTTTCCGACTAGTATCTTGAACAGCTAATTTGCCATCCGTATTTCGATCTAATACCATGTTTCCTGTTAGTCGTAAGTAGAGCATCCATCAATTTCTTCGGTCCACGATCCGCGATTTATTCTCGGCATTTCTAACAGTAAAAGATATCATTAGTTCTATCTGTAACTGGTTTTGCTCGAATCAATTACTGATACTGTCTCCTTGTGTCTCTCGGTTTCTTCAAATGTCTTGAAGTTTTGTGTTCTACTTATTCTTCTATACTTGTAGCAGTGTAGCTATCTAGACGTACAGATAATATATCCCTACTTATTATTAAGTAGATAGTTCAATATCCAGTGACAAATCGCTCTTCCTAAAAATAGCAGTAAAGACTACTCAATTGTCCACAAATATCGTTTTAAATTTTAAGAGAAATTACCCACTTTGAGTAGATGCAGGTCCTGTGTTAATATAATGAGTTTAATTCAGCAATTATTGAAATTTATTTGACAACAATTTATCTGATAAAAATACTATTTAATAATAAGAGCACATTAATATCTAGCATTATCTAAGGATAAATATGACATTTAATTTCAGAGTATAACGCCCAAAATCGTCAATTGTTGCAACGAATGCATTTAGTAAGATTGTGAAAGTATTTTATGTATGTATCAAGGTACCTTTACGGTATTCATAGAAAATGTATAATTTTTTTAATACAGAAGCTTCATAACTTAATATCTTCAAAGGATATTACAACAGGAAAACTGAAAATCGTTTCGAATAATACTACGTGGCGAATGATTAAAATTATTGTACAATATTTTCAATTTTTTTGTTGGAACTGATTTGAAAAGTGCTTTCATTCGTTTCTACAAGGGAAGGTTTAGTTTTTTTACGGTATGTTTAGCACAATTAATGATGATTAATGATCTACTGTATCACGCGTCCGGCACCTCCACCAAATACACATAACAATTTTCAAAACATTTTAATCTATTTCTTGCTTCCTTGCTATGTTTTAACAACCAAATCCTTGTGGGAAAACTGCTAACGATTATTATTGGACAATATTATAAGCCAGTTATTTAATTACGATTACATTCTCATAATAAAACATCACCATATCGATTTTATTACCTCAATACTATATTAGTAAAAGGAAATGTCTCCTAATGTAGCTGTTATATACAACAGTTGTATTAAGCGCGGTACATTATGTACTATAATCTGATTACAAGCGAATGCTTTTCATTAATTAACCAGCTAATTTATACGATACTCTAATCGAGCCCTTATTTTCAGGGTGATTACGCTCACTAATGAATTACCTGTGTGCACACTTTGCAATTATGAACTCACATGTATATGTAGATGTTAAAAACAATTTTCTAAATTAAATATTAGATTATTATTGAGTGCCTACAACTTTTTAAGATGTAAAGAGTATTACTCAGATATAAAAAAAGATATTCTATTTATTTAATCTATGTAGCTGTTATTATTTATTTATCGAGGCTCTCAATTGTTACAGTACAAAATTAACAATATGCAACGGTGTCCTTACATTCATGAGATGAAAGAGCGTCTTTTAGGGGAACAAATCGCCATGGAACCGCTAAGCAAACCTATACCAACCCCTCCGCCACTTAATCTAGAACAACATCAGCAGACTGTAGGGACTGTAGTTAAGGTAAGTAACCCCGACTTTTTTAATGTCACGTACTGCTATTTTAGTACATACGTGACTAATAAGCAATATTTTATTATTTTAAGTTAAATCCTGATGGATATGGTTCCCACACATCCCCAACTCATAACAGAACTGATAGAATCCCACTGATGCCTCGGGAACCAAGTGAAGAGTACCACGTTGTAGATAGAAGGGTTTTTCCTAAAAACGCCAAGTAAGTCAGTCCATTTTCGAAATTGTATATATATATATTCTCGTTTAAGTCTTGTTTATTCGGTCTTGGTCTTCATCTTGCTCAAATACTTCTAGTCTTGGTCTTGGTCTGGCTGATATATTCTCGATCATAATTTTGGTTTTGCTTATTTAATTTGAGACTTACGTTTTTTTAATAATTATATTTACCGACACAATAATTGTCATAAAAAAAAACTCTTGAACTTACCCTTCCATATGTGCATAAATTGACCTTTCCTCCAACGCAGTAATTGTCGTTTTAGTGAAAAAAATAGTATAATATTCTTAAAAAAACGTAAAAAATATCGAAAAAAAAAATAGTTTGTCTATATTTCAAACATGTTTTTCTTTTGATAGAGGTTCTCAATTACCCCAGTTTCTTTAATCAATAATTGCTTTTAATTTCATTTTACTGCAAGAATAAAAAAGCGATAAAACCGAAAAGATTAATTGTTTTTTAGTACACTAAGTAGTTGAATTAGAATTTAAATTGTACACTCGATGAATGTGCCTGTTCTTTGAAGTTACCGGCAAATTCTACTAGGTAGTTTTCTTACTACGTGTATCATGGCTCTAATCACTACAAGTTGTTATTTCTACAACTTTCTAAACGATCATGACAGTATTCTTGATATTTTATAGTTTATAAGTTAAAAGACGTATGTTACAAATATTTTAAATTTAATTATCGTTTCTACTTATAAATAATTTGATTAGAAATAGAATCATTTGCATCCAATCGCTTTCAAATAGAATCGCTTGTTGATTTAGAGTCAGTGACCTCGCTTAAAGAAAGCAATAAAAAAGTAGAATCTGTTACATCCACTTGTCTATTGTTAGCCCCAAATGAAAAAAGTACAAAGAAAGATTTGGCTTCAGCTGTCGTATTACATTCTTAGTACTAAAAAGAACTCCTCCTATTAAGTTTGTTTAACTAAATAATAAAAACGAAACTTAAAGGTTAGTATCTGGATTTCCTTATAGGAAGAGAATCTATTTTCATATACGGAAAAAATATGTACATACTATAAAAAAATACAAGAAAAACATAATAGTAAAACAAAAAATATTAAAATATTACATTTAAAAAAAAAACATTGCATTACATTATATTTATTGTATGGGGACTTTTTAATACCAGCAATTCGCTTTTAAAAATACTATTGTATATTAATAATTTTGATCAGACAGCTACATTTAATTTTTCATCAAATTTCTCACAATCGACATAACCATTAAACTGGACAGTAATTTCCTCGCGGTTTGTAGAAGACTTCACCACATCCAACACGTCTCATGATTTCTTTCATTAGAAGCGCCTTTTCTTTTTCAACTTTCAACAATACAGCCTTATTTTCTGCGACCCGTCTCGCCAGATAAGGCATCACTTCGGTTACAGGACCGTACGGAACATATTTAAACACCCTGTAGCCTGCTTGAGCTAGAGGGAAAGACACATGATCGCACATTCCCAACAACTGACCAATGCTTACTACTTTATCTTCCGGTTTTAACTCCAACGCTTTCATTCTGTCTAAGGAATATCTAATGGAGTCTTCGCTATGAGTGGCAACCATAATTGATATTTTGTGCATTTCATTCAATTCCTTGTGCTCTTTGATTCTTTTTAAACATTTGTCTATCATTCGGTGGTACATTTCTGTTGTAGCTTCGTATGAGGAGTTTGTTGGGTCTGAGTAACCTATTTCTCGGGCACGTGCCCTTTCTTGTTCCAGGTAGGCTCCTCGTACCAGTTTAGCCCCGAAACAGAAGTTTTGTCTTTTGGCCTGTTCCAAATCAGAACACAGTTCATTGTAACCGTCTTTTAAATAAGCTTGATAGGTGGTCCAAATCACCGCTTCATCTTTATTATACAATCTCATGAGTTCGATGGCTATTCGAGATATTGCCGGTTGGAAGTACGTTTGTTCTGCATCGATAGCTACGTATACATTCAATTCGTCTGCAATTTTAGCGATGGTTTTCATTCTGCGGATCATGTTCTTGAATGTTTTCTGTTCGTGTTCGGATAGTTGGGTAATTAGGGGTACCATTTCTCCAGTTTTCAAACAGGGTATAAGGAATGTGTGGTCCAACTGCAGTTCGTCGTTGATGATGCCGGACCACGGAAACAGATGTAGAATTCCTTCTTTGTCAGCGGTGACCTTTTTTAAAAAGTCGTCGACATTAAATTTGGACCCGAAACATTCAAGTTTCTTTTTCAAATCCTCCGGTTTGAGATGATGTCGCAGGACATTGCCTTCTTCTCCAACGAGTTGAGTCATAAATTTCCTGGTTCGCATTATGACTTCTGACAGTTGCAAAAGTAACTGCGGTCTTCCCAAACCAGTTAATTTGATAGCCGCGAAACCTTTTCCGTGGGGATAACCAGCCACAGCTTCGATACATTTAATAAAGCTTACCATGTTTCTCTCGCAATTAGCCTCATTTATGTAGAAGAATGTGTGCGCGCTGGTCACTTTGTATCTTCGATCTGCGAACTTTTTGTTCACGTGGTATTGTTTCAGCGATCCTTCCACGTCAATTTTGTCACCGGCTTCCGGTACCGAAGCAGCTACTTCCCGTTTTTCAGCTTCCTCTTTGCTTATGTCTTCTTCAACTGAATAATCTAAAATTGGATTAACTCCAAAAGAGCGAAGCTGTTGTAGGGTCGGTTGGATTCTGTTCTCGTCTTCCCCAGCTACAAAATGACCATAAAATGTGAGCTTCATGAGCCACTTGAACAATCTATCTCCCAATATATGCCTTGTATTTCTCAGTATATTCTGGTTATTATCCATAATGATATTGTTACCACATAGTTTGAAAACCAGTAACCCCCTTGCCAATTCCCATAACGTCTTACTCTTATATGCATCCCTAATATCTTCGAAGCCTAAATCTAAAGCTTCCATGCTGGACTTTTCTACTAGTTCATCATCCACTTTTAATTGTTGCTTCTTTTCTAAATACGTATAAATGATTGATTTGTTCTGAACACCTACATTGTTATGCTTGAATCGATTTTGCCGATAGTTTCCTTGCTTTATGAATGTTTTCGTTAATATTTTACAGTCGGTAGTTTTAATGTTTGAGCACACTCTCGTTGATCCATATTCCAGGAAAAATGTTTTAATTATACTAATCATTATATGTTTTAAATTTAATTGTGTATGAGAACCAAAATATCTTGCAAATTGCAATCAAGTTTTATTTTTTAGGTTAACATTGTAACTGTCAAAAAATTAAAATGAAACAAAAGGTAAAAAATAAACATATACTGTGATTGCCATTTGGCAATCAATTTATTGTTACAAAGCATTTTAAATATTATTACTACACTGGCTTTGAATGGATACTTAGATACATTATGAAGGAGTCAATTCAGTTTACAACTTAATTAACAAGAGAAAACTGGGTAGACGGAAAAAGTTCGGAAACGACAAATACGACGTGATTTATGGTGGCTTACCCTTAATAACTCTCCCTGAGCGTGAGAAAATGAACAAACAATTCACGTTGCACTGTTGAGAAGTTACAAGAGTACTTAATTCAAATGTAACAACGTGCCTGACTGGCGGTTTTCAACTGTTTCTGGTCTAGCGCAAACGAAGTAAATTGTCTTAACAAAAAAATGCAATAGTTTTTATTTTGTGCAAGTAAATTCTTGTTCTCGACTTTCCTAACTATAACAAAACCTTTAAAATATTTAATAGAATCTACTTCAACTTATTGATGGATGATCATATTGAATATTTTCAACTTCCACA